TATAACTATACGTATGATTTAAAAAAGGGGACAAACAAAAGCGCTCACACATCTTTTGACATAAACACGGTTGCCATCAAAAGATGATGCTAATCACGTCACCGGTTACACCGAGTTTGTTAGTCCTAAAGCGGTGACAGGTGGTAGCTTTGTCACCATACACGCGACGTCAATGCGAAGAACGCCATTCATATAAAAAAGCGAAAATTGCAAATTGAAATTGGGAGTTGAACTCAAGCTACTCGTATTCAACAATTGACCACTTTCCGTTTGTCAAAGTGGTTATTTTGTAAGCTGTCGTTTATTAGACTCTACTATCTATCGGAGTATTTACTTATTGATTCTACAAATGGGAGATCCGCGAGTCATTAACAGGATGTTGTTTTTTCCAAGTAACTACATTAAAATACGCATGTATACGAAAAGTCATCTTAGTATAAATATTAATAAAATTTGGATGGATAGAAAGGTTTTAAATAAAATTGAAATTATAATGTAATTAGTTATCTATTATAAAAATATCTTCAGTTATTATCCACCCTTAGGCAAGGCCTCGTTATCACGGTTCTAGAAATAATAAATAACAACAATAGTAAAAATAATAGTAAAAACTAATTAATTCGTTAAAAAATTACGTCATATTTGCAACCATGTATTGCATATTGGCACAACCTAAGATCATTTATTATTTCTAATTTCTCCCGCATTCAGGTAACTCTTATAATGTTTGTGTGCATAGTAAACTGCCAGTTAAGAATTTCTAAGGTGCTTGGATTAGAACTAATTTCGCTCGCGTACAGTGAATTTAAAGGTATTTGAACACTGAATTATCATAGCAGTAGATGTTTACATTACTTTTGCATTCCTTGCACTAATAATTTAACTTCTTATGTAATTTCTTTGTACATGAACATTTTGCAAGCAAAGCTTATTTTTATATTCGATCGAAACTATTTCGTTATACTATTTTTTTGTTTCTCTAAATTTAACTTCAATATTTGATGGATTAACTTACTAATTGGTCAAACGGTTAATTAATATTTCAATTAGTTAATAGCATCTTATTTAAAAGTTGGTGTTATTTTTAATGTTATTGTTTGGCGCAAATCACTTTTTCCGGGAACAAAAAACATCAGTACTTAAATATTGTAGTATAGCAAGGTAAAGTAATTTTTACTGTTTACTCTTTGTAACTTAATTTAAATAAAACGATAAAAGCTATCAAACATTCTGAATTAGGTAGCTATTTTTGTAGAATTTATATTCAACCAAAACTAAATTACTTGCTACTCAATATTAGTTACAGTTTACATGAACACTGAAACCACTCTATATCTGGTTCTTAATCAAATTTATGAATTCCATTTCGTCTTTACCTTAGCACTATTCTCTAAATGGGAATATGTTCAGAAACTCACCCTTTTTGCGTACAATACGTGTTTATAGTATTTTTTTAACAATTATACTATAGTGTAATCATTCAAAAAAGTAAACAAACAAAACAAAAAAATAAAAAAAAGTTATTAAATAACACTATTCCACGAAACGGTTTCTTTATCAACGAATGTTACTTATTATTTCGCGCCAAAACTGTTGAAAGCCGACGTCCTCTAGCAGTACAACTGCAGCGCGCACTGAACTAGTAGAGTAGACTAAGACTACTACGTAGTAACTTTTCGAATTGTGAATACGCTCTCCGCATATAATAAATTGGATTGTTCTATGAGTATGTAATTGTAAACATGCACACACTTGCACATGCGTTTAACTTTAGCGCATTTATGACTACACGTGTTGACTGCATGTTGAAAATAATACTGCTGAGGTGAATCTAATCGTGGACAAATATAGCGATATATTTATAAATTACTTCTCTCTGATCGATTATTTTATTCAATCATAGTGTTTTATTAGTATTGATATATTAATGTGATATAATAATATCCGAATTACTAATTTCTGCCCTAGAGTAGCACCAATCTTGTTTTGGTTTCTTTTTTTTTTTAACTTGTGATGGTGTCTACTCTGTTGGTGCAACTAATAAATATATAAATAAATAAACGGCTTACACTTAAATATATGAGTTATTAAGTATTACTTGGGTGTTTCGTAATCTACATACCTATGTTGTAGAGAACTAAGTGTTGAAATTAAGAATATCTGAAGTTTAAAATGTAGAGCGTCTTGATTTCTTGGGTTTTACGCGATCCTAATACGATGGATCATACAAAGGTATTGGCGACTTTTTTTCTCGAATTTTTGGCCTTGTAACAGGACCTTTAGGACAATATTCCCGAATAGAATCAACTTGTAGGATGCAGTCGTAGTAAATTTGGGTTAAACGGCCGGGGAAGGAAATCCACTAAAGTACACAGTGACTAGATGTGGGTCAAACGACGATAATGGCTTCTACAATGAGGTAAGTTGTACACATAAAATAACTACAGTTTGTGCTTGTTAAACACAAAGTACAAACTGCTTACAGTAACGACGAAATACATTAAAAGAATTAATGTGTACGATTGCCGCGGATTGTTAAAGTTTGGAGGAGGCCAGTCTTTGAAGTTTTTTTTTAATTTTTAATATCGCACATGTTATAAAGTAAATAAAGATTGAAAGGTTTATTCCTTAGTCTTATCATCCTCATTTTGTGATGAAAATTTTTTAAAGTTTATTTGAAATTTAAGTAAGGAGCGAAATCAAAGGTACTTTTCGAAATTAGTACATAACAAAGGATTCAATGTGAGAATATTGTCAGGTATTTGATTTTTATGGACGTAAATGTGTACATATTTAGTCGTTTAAGAAAACATCAATAACTTTACTTCAATATGAGTTGTTAAAGTAGAGAATGAATGTTTTTTTTTATGTGAAAAGTAGCCAAGCGAGCAGCCGTCATTCAACTGATGTTAAGTACATCTACTACACCCGAGGGTTGCAGATGCGTTGACAACCTTTTGAAAATTGGGCTCCGGCCACCTCACTCACCAGAAACGCAAAAGTATTATACTTCCACGTTACGCCGGTCTTCTGTGAGGTCGTGGTACTTATCCGGACGAGTCTGCCCATTCGCGCAATAGCTGGGGCTACTGCGAGGCCCATACCACCCTATATTTGTTTGTTTTATGTGTTTCACTTTTACAATATTTCCAATAAAAAGATTTTTTGTTATTAAAATTCATTTATAATTATTTGTTGAGGGGTTTTTTGGAAACGGGGTACAGTCAGTGGTACGTTATCGTAAAAGCTTAGGAATCCCTGATTCAGGACATCACTAATTATTATTGTAATTTGGGTTCAATAAGGCTGCCGAAATTGATACAGTACATATTTCAAACAGCGGTCGGTCCGCTCTTTGTTCACAACGGAGGCAATTTATGACACAGATTTAGTGAATGCGGAAGCAATATCTCTGACGGTTATTCGGACCTGAAGGGCTTCCCGGCGTCAGCGTTGAGGCCAACGGACCGGGCACGCCTTTTTATAAATATTACGCCCATGAAATTCTCTTGGACCGGTTTTTGATGCATTTTCCATTAAATAAAAATCACAAAACCGGTAGAGAAGGGGTCAGTGAGAGAGCGATGCAACGATGGTATTAGCAAAGAGAGTGTAATCACTACGTTGGTTATTTGAACGAGGGGTAAAAAGCTAATCATGTATACCAAAGAGAATGTAATCACTACGTATACGTATACGATGAATTTAGTTTATTTTTAACACGTTCAGATTTACTCACGGAGTTTATTTAACACGGCCGTGAAACTCCTTGGAGTATGTACATTGTCGCAAAAAGAATAATAGGCATATTTTTTTTAATTATTTTTGGATAGTCATATTAAAATAATAATTAAGAGAAACCATTCAATTCCTCACCTTTCCAATCTAAGGGATGAGGTGGTACATGCTGACGGAGGACATCTCACCGTCAATGCCTCCTGGTTAGCAAGAAACCTTAAATCAGAAAAGGTGTCCCTGTTGCTCTGACTCTGCTCGATAGTACCAAAGTGTCCGAAGATGACTAGAAAGAATGTCTCGCCGACAGCCTAGAGCTACAATGCTCCACTAACATAACATACATAACCTACTAACTACGTCCACTTGTGCAAAGTGGACGTGGAAGTAGAAAGTAGAGGCTTCGCCAACGGACCCTCCCTTCGAACATGTCGATGAGGGTACGTCTATTATCTAGAACCTTGAAGCCACTCTACACCTGGCGCTACCTTAATCTCCAACCGAGTTATTAAAACTCCTGCCACCTCATTGCCCTTCTAGAGGCGTAATTTAATGCCCTCCTCGAAAGCTGCACCTTCCCCAATACGTGGAAGGAAGCGCGCGTCATCAGCATCCTTAAGCTGAATAAGCGTCGAGAGTTAGCATTTAATTACCAATCCATCAGTCTTATCTTCGCTATGAGGAAAATTTATGAATGTATTATTCTAGTAAAGAGTAAAAAACCTCATTCCCGGCATATCGAATTTACGGTTGGATACTCGAGCATTCTTCAAGTGCACAGCCTCACGGAGCATATTTGGCCAAATCCTCACTCTGACAAATCTCCGATCGGCAGTCAAGTGGGGTGACTCAATTTGTTCGAAGTCGCGAATGTGTTCGACAAAGTTTGGCATAACAGCTTCATTACAGTTTCGGTTTAACGGAGTCAAATTCAAATTAAAAATATCTTCATCCAAATAGATATGATACATAAGTGCATAGGTAAGTTACTACCGTTTCGGAAGCCACTTTAAATTGAGAAAAACCGGCAGGAAATTCAATAGTTTCTCTTTTTTTTTTTTAAAGATCACTTTACAATATGACACAGTCTTATTTTAGTCTACATGAGTATCAACAGTATTAACTCCACACATTGGCGTCGTCGAGATATTCCGCAATGGTATAATGTCTTATGCTGTCATGTTCCTTCAGAGCGAGCACACCGGAGTTCGGTATTGTTCTCAACGTTGTACAATATACAATAGCAACTTCCCGTCGTGATCACGATGGGCATGGACAAGATTGATTGGGGTTCTAGACGGCGCGCGGGAAGCACCAATGGCGCCTCGCCACAGCCTCCCAAGCACGCACTCAGCATACACCTCGACCACCTCACGTTCAAGGGTGAGCCGGTAGACGATCCGACACCATGCTGACTTTGTTCAGAGAGAAAAATGACATAACACCTCTCTGCTACTCCTCACTGAACATCACATTTTCGATGGTGAGCACGTGCACATATAGACTTTATTAAAAGAATCCAACAGCGTAACATTTTTTGATTTTTTTACGTGACAACGGGGCTAGCCTGAGGGGTTCACCTGATGTTTCGTTTGGTGAATAGTGATAGCCGCTGCCCATAGACATTTGGAGAGGGGACAGTAGGATTGCAAATGCGTTGCCACCTTTCAATAAAATGGGCTCCGGCTACCTTAATCACCAAACGAAACGCACATGCAGTAGTATAAAACTTCCATTTCACGTCGGTCTTCTATGAGGTTGTGGTATTTCCCCGGACGGACCAGCCCATTCTTGCAACAGCGAATTGTTGGGTTGCCTTACCACAGTTAAAGCTCAAAAAGTTTTGCGAATCGAGGTCAACCTGGTTGTCCCTCCTGTCAAATTATGGCCATGCTTTCACATAAAATAGGTTGAGCGAATAATTTGACAGGCATATATTGGCGTTACGCTAGAAAAAAAACACACATTCAAACTGCGTAGCACCTGGCCCCCTTCACGTGAGCATGCAGTAAGATGATACTAAGACGTAAAATTAGGTCATTTAAATTTCATAGAAAGTTCCCCATAATGACATCCTTCACTTGAAACCGCTACAAATGATCCAAAACCGCTCTTTTTCAAAAAAAATCGAAAAAAATTTCTTCTTCACGAAACTGGTTGTGGCGTTCCATGGTATATGCGGAACCCCGTATTGTATCGCAATCTAAAAATAACAACACTTTAAAAGGGTTAATACCAATTATTAAAAAGGAGGTGAAATAGCATAATATATTAAGCGAATATGTATTAATTATTCGCTTTTCTCTACAAAAAAATTCATTGGTTAGACTGTTAAACTAAATTACATGACAACTGAATTTTACATATTATAATAAATCAATATTAATAACTATCCTTTGTTACTGGTTTAAATAAACATTTTTAATAATTAAATACTTCTTTTATAATTTCGGTGAGCTGAAAGTTGTAAATTGCCAAAAATGATTAGGTGGTCTATGACTATGACTCTATGATTCAAAATCGAGGCGCGTTCGCATTCGCCGCTCTTTTTAATCTGTCTTTCCAAACCATTTTGAAGAAAAGCTCGTTCTTCGTATCGAGCGTTTCCTTGTTTTGTGATTAACCATTGTTAATTGTGATATTTACTATTATAATCTCTTAGGATTAGTATTAAGCAGATTATTTAGAGTAAGTAGGTCCATTAAATTGTAATTTTATACTCTTAACACTCATCGTGACAGATCGATTGGCGTCTAGTAAACCATTTACAGGTTATAGGCGAAATTCACCGACTTTTAGCTTTACTTTTATTCGTATTAGTTGAAAATGGAAAGTATGGATGTCGCTCAGGAGGGAACTTCAGCAGTAACCACGCCAGTGCTCGAGAATGGTGAGTTTTTCAAAAACAGTTTTTAGTGACGCCGGTAATGGTATTGAAAAATGTGCTTCATTGTTGATGGTGCATTGTTATATATTTGGAGGTTAAAATGTTTTAGGGCCGGATAAGAACGTCACAGCCGAAGAGATGACTTCAAGAGATTATTATTTTGATTCGTACGCGCACTTTGGCATCCACGAGGAGATGCTCAAAGATGAAGTTCGCACCCTAACGTATCGGAACGCTATGTACCATAATAAACATTTGTTTAAAGGAAAAGTAAGTAACGGTATTGAAATCCACAAATTTTACTTAAAATTGTAATTTTTTACTACTAAATCTGCTTCCAATGTGAAAATTGCTTTGTTTCTCTGTCTGTATTTGTACTAAGCAAAAGCAGTTTTTTTTTTACTTAACTTTGTCTTGAGTTTTTATTTTAACCGACAGACATTATTGTTGTGATGTATGGAAGCCCTATTTGTTAACATATACTCTTTGCATACAGAACATTTGGCATGAACCCAGTAGCTTACATTTAAAGATGAGCTTAAAGGTCATAAACTCAATTTATTAAACAATTGATTAACAAATTTCACTTAGAATTAACATGTCATAATTAATGAGGGACAGTCAGTTAACAATATTGGCTCTTGTATTGGCACATGTCTAAACTAATTTATTTTAATTACAGACGGTTTTGGATATTGGGTGTGGGACAGGCATTTTATCAATGTTTGCAGCTAAGGCTGGCGCTTCAAAAGTGATTGCTGTGGAATGTTCAAATATTGTTGACTACGCACGAAAGATTGTTGAGGCCAATCGCCTTGATGATATTATAGAAATAGTTAAAGGAAAGGTAAAGTATTTATTGCATCCTTTAATTATTAGTCTTATATTTAATTTTGAGAACTTATATTGGGACATCTATAATATAACCTTTTCATTTTGTCATAATTAATCAAGTGTGAACTATATCTCACCATTAAACTTGAAGGACGTGCAAATTAAAATTATGAATTAAAAAATTTAAGTTTGCTTCTGTTACATTTCCTACTAAGTTTTAAGTACCTGCTTAAATCATAATCACCATCAAATTAATGAATATACACACTTTCCTTTCTATATAATTTGTATAGAGATTAGATTTCAAATTTGTGACTCCTTGCTATGTGAGGTGGTCTTAGAGTAACAGGAGCAGTAACTGTGATTAGCCTAACACTGACGATGTATTTTTGATTTTATTTGTAGGTGGAGGAAGTGGAGTTACCTGTGGACAAAGTGGACATTATAATTTCTGAGTGGATGGGCTACTGTTTGTTCTATGAAAGCATGTTGGACACCGTACTCTATGCTCGTGACAAGTGGCTTAAGCCTGATGGCATGCTCTTCCCGGACAGGTAAGCTCTTTAAGTTCAACCATGTTCTGTACAACATAATGTCAGTTTTGATATAATGGTGGAGTTTTAAAATAAAAAGTAATTAAAACTCTTTATTTAAAGTATGTGCTAAGTTGTTTCACACAAAGTGACAATATACATTAGAAATAATTGTCATATTTAATGAATAAGGATATTAATTAAATAATAATTATATTTATAATATAAATATTAATAATTTATTTTAGAATTTAGACAACAAATATGTGTGAATTACATTTTATCACATTTATTTAATGTTGTACCAATGAATTCGCATTACTTATATGCTTCACTATATTATAGTTTATAATTTTTAGAACAACTGTTTTGTAATAAATCTCACAATCAAGTGGTAAAAAAGTATTAGAGCTTATATATATATTTGTCCTGAGCTGCAGGTATGAGCCTTACTCTGTATGCAGGTCTCATGTGTGGTATCGTAGGTGGCCTATGGGCCTATGTGCATCTCTGGCAGATGTGGCTCTAGTGCATTGTAGTCGACTGCTTTTACCATCTAAATAATGTGTTGAACAATATTCTTAAGTCAATTACGTACAACTTATTGTGGAAGGACATGTTTTCTTACAATGGTTTCCATTGTCACCAAGTATGTGGTGAATAGCAATCAACAATTTCATTGTTAACGTTACCAGAATTTGTACTCAAGTTGCTTGAATATAATTCAGAGCTACAACTGCTCTAAGTAGTTAAAAGTTTGTTTAAAAGTTATAAAATTGGTATCATGAAATGCATTTTTATGTTATTAACATATTTTTTCAACATCAGATGCACATTATTCATTTGCGGAATTGAAGATCGTCAATACAAGGACGAGAAAATCAATTGGTGGGACGATGTGTACGGTTTCGACATGTCTTCCATCAGGAAGGTAGCAATCTCCGAGCCCTTGGTTGATGTTGTTGATGCTAAACAGGTAAAAATCAAAAAACATTTCTGTAATTTGTTAACACTGATGGGAATTATAATAATATATGAACTTTGTTTTATGCAGGTGGTAACTAATTCATGTTTGCTGAAGGAAATTGACCTTTACACCGTTAAGAAAGAAGATCTCAATTTTGAATCCAAGTTCCATCTTCAGGTAAAGTATATAAAAAAAAATAGGTATAGTTTTTTTTTGTGGCAATGGGATTCAAAACGCCATCCTGTATTTGTTGATAAAATAAAAAACTACAAATGTGTTTTCAGGTTCGTCGCAATGACTTTATACAAGCCCTTGTGACATTCTTCAATGTGGAGTTCACGAAGTCTCATAAGAGGCTTGGCTTCAGCACAGCTCCAGAAGCCCCCTACACGCATTGGAAGCAGACCGTGTTTTATTTCGACGAGTATATGACTGTAAGTTTTTTCTTTTTTTTTATAAGTTGCCAAGCGAGCAGGCTGTTCACATGATGTTAAGTGAACACCGCCGCCCATGGACATCTGCTACTTCCGAATGTTTGCAGACACGTGACAACCTTTTTGAAAATTTGGCTCGAAAATTTGGCTCCGTCTACCTCACTCACCAGGCGAAACGCGAAAGTATTTTACTTCAAAATCACGCCGGTTTCCTGTGAGGTCGTGGTACTTACCCGGACGAGCCTGCACATTCGTGCAACAGCCGAGGCTTCTGCCTCCTGCCTGGGCTACCAACTACCTAGGTTGGTAGTGCCAGGCAGGTAAGTTTGATTCGATAATAAAGGAAGAATCCTTTATTATCGAATCGAACCCACGAACGACCCCCGACGCCGAAGCCAATACCTTGGTAACTGCGCCACGGATTCATCAAATGGATGTCGATCATACGCATTTCGTGGACGTCGCATCCCTCAACTTATACGGCCAACTGATCCGTTGGGAGAATATGTCTTGGGATCACTTTCGACTAGAACACGAACAGAGCGTCATATGGGCTGCCTCCATAACTTAAGACTCGTCAAATAAAAACCTTCTAAAGCATAAGCATTTATTAGACAGGTGCGTTTTACTATTGCATTTTTTTTTTTTTTTTTAAGTATTTAAGTATACACACAAAATTATTTTAGTATAATTTAGCAGGAGCCAGGGGACTTGCAAGTGCAGAGCAAGAGTCATTTCCACACATCCTTGTCCTCAATGTATTCCTCGACATTATAATAAGCCCTTTCCATTAAGGTGGCTTTTACAAAATGTTTGAAATTATTTAAACTTAATTGTTTGTGGATGTCACCTATTCTAAACCAAGAAACAATTTCCTGGTTTTAGCTAGTCTAAACCTCGGTATTTCCAACGTGTCACCACGGCCCCGACGCGATGTGGTGGCTCAGCGGGCCTAAATAACTTATCTCTTCAAAAACACTATCAAAATTTGGATGTTTACATTTTTTATAGTGCTAATCTCTGCACTTAAGGTTAAACATTAAAATTTGTAGAAAAAGCACGAAAAGATTGTCGCTGCCGCTGTGGGAATCAAACCTACGTCCTCGGCATTCGCGGCCTGACGCTTCAGCCACTAAGCTAAACGGCTGACTGCCACACCTGCGAAAATCTTAACCTCTTTTATCTACATTGTTTTTTTAGCGTTATTGTTTGTACCCTGGAAAGGACATAACAATGGATGCGCCAAGTTTGGATGTTATAATTCGTAATTTTGCTGCGTCACCAGGTGAAGAAAGGGGAGGAGATAATGGGCACGTTCTCGATGAAGCAGAACGAGAGGAACAACCGCGACCTGGACTTCGAGGTGGAGATCGAATTCAAGGGGGAGCTCTGCCAAGTTAAGGAGAAGAACCACTACCGGATGCGTTGAGAGGCCCCAATCCGCCCCAGACGTACAATACAAAAAACATTCACTATGCCCATAGTGTGCGAGTTCTTTAACAATAGTGATAACAGTTTTTTTTTCTCAGTGTGATGTAAGCTTTATATTTAAGTGAAGTATTAATCCTTCGGAAACATCTGGACTCGTAAAAAAGTCACAATATTCTGGGATAGTGATGGCACTTGTGCCTCCCATAGCAGACTTGTATCCAAAGGTTCCGATTCTCGAAAGGACCACCCAAAATGTTTTATATTTAACATTTTACTTTACTTGTTTCAATGGCTAAAACTTCATGATGTTTCATTTCGTTTTTGTGTGAAAATCTCGATTGCCTAACAAGATTTTTAACATAATGTACAAAAAAATTCACTATGTTCACAATAAATTCTTTGCGCAATACAAGAAAGATCTTGGATACTATGTTATTTATTACATATATAATATTCTTTCACATTTAAATTAACAAATAGTAAATTTTAGCGTGCTTAGGTTTCATTATTTTTGATTTACCCTAAAAAAATGTTTCCACAATAATTGAAAATGTTGAACATTCTGCAACGGGTAGTGCCATTGTGTGAACCATTCATGCCAAATGTTTTGTATCTGTGTAAGATTCTAGAAGATTTCAGTTCTGGTAAGTTCTAGAGTGATTTTGAACCAAGAACACCTATTTAATAGTAAGAAACACCAATGTAATTTTTTACTCATTGGTCTTTTTATACAGTTATATAAGGATGGAAATGTAATGAAACGTATTAAACATATTTGTCACTGACACAAACAGATTCCGTTAATAAAGTTTGTATCGTAAAAATTCATCACCAAGTTCGCCTTACAAACCCGCGAATTATGTACACTCTATGACATCCAAATAAACTTATTTTTTCTATTGTTAAACTTATCTCAACTTATGTTTATAGTAAGGCTTGTATTATAAGTTCTTTTTAAAATTGTCTTTTAGTATTTCTTGTACCCAAAGTACCATTTGCTGTTAAGGTTAATACAAACAGTAACTTCGGATCTCATGTAAATTGGTAAGGAGAACCTGAAGATAATATCTGAATAAATGGTTATTTAAAACTGGAGACTCGAGAAGACATTTTACAAGGAAAATCAAGCACAGATCTTGATTTTTTTATGTAAAAAGATGGCAAGCGAGCTAGTATCAACTGATTAAAACCGCCACCCATGGACATTGCAAAACCTGTAGGATTACAAATGCGTTGAGACCCATCAATAAAGAAGATGTTTCAGATTTACTCACTCACCAAACGAAACGCAGAAGTATAACACTTCTTCTTCACGCTGCTCTTCTGGTAGACCGTGGTAATTCCCCGGATGGATTTGCCCATTTGTGCAACAGCGAAGACTGCTACCTACCACAGTTAATTTCTTCGTTATCGATTTAGTACACAAAAATTAACAAAAAAGTTTTGTTATTAAATGAAACCATTTATTACTTATTATGGATTAATCGTTATTTTTAATTTTATTTTTTTACTTTTATTGGTGACTCGGTGACGCTCTTGCTTAACTATTGGCTTCGACGTCGGGGGTCGTGAGTTCGATTCCCACATGAGACAAGTATTTGTGTGACCCACAGATAATTGTTTCGCATCTGGGTGTTGGTCCGCGTGACCACTTAAAACAAGATTCACGAGTTGTACCGACCCCATTAATGGAGGATGATGACTTATAATTTTTATTAACCGGACAGAGTCATTCACAATGAATGATGAATGCAGTGCCGGATTAACCACGTAGCAAGTGGCAATTGTACCGGCCCCACGCCAAAGGGGTCCCCGCATATTTAATTCCACTCATCTGGTCTTAATTTTTTGAGTGAGGCATTAAATAAGTAAGAATATTGAATTGTTTTTTTACCAATTTATAGTTGAGAACCCATAGCGGATCAAGGGCAGTTTAATAATAATAATAATAACATAAGGACCCTCTCTGAGGCTGAAACATACCGATACCTGGGTATGTCACAAAACATGTGTATCGATGAGGCTGGCATGAAACAGTCAGTTCGTGATGTGTTTTTTGCACGTCTGACAAAGGTGTTGAACAGCCATTTGTCAGGCGTGAACAAGACACGCGCATTTAACGGCTGGGTCATGCCAGTCCTCATGTATACCTTTGGCATACTCAGGTGGACTCAAACTGAGCTCAATGCCCTGGACCGAAAAGTCCGCACAACTATGACGTCCCACAGGATGCATCATCCGAGATCGTCAGTGATGAGGCTGTACCTGCCGCGGAAGCATGGCGGGAGGGGCTTTTTGAGCGCCCTTACCATGCACAATCGCGAGGTGTGCAGCCTCCGTAACTACTTCCTGGCGAGATCGGATGATTCAATCTACACAGACGTCATTAGTTGTGATAAAGGACTTACCCCTCTATCCTTAGCCAACGAGCAATGGCAGGACCCGGGAGTACTGAGCGTTTCCGACCGGGAGGCCGTATGGAAGGAGAAAGAGCTCCACGGGAGGTTCTACAAGGCCCTACACGAGCCTTTCGTAGATACTACTGCCTCCCTCAACTGGCTACGTTTCGGTGACCTCTTTGGGGAAACCGAAGGTTTTGTCTGTGCGATACAGGATCAGGTTATTAAGACGAACAACTATCGGAAATACATCCTAAGGGATGGCACCGTCGTCATCTGTCGAGCTTGTCGCCATCCCGGGGAGTCGCTTCGGCATGTTATTTCCGGTTGTTCCATGCTTTCTAACTCTGAGTATCTGCATAGACACAACCTAGTAGCCAGAATCCTACACCAGGAGCTCGCTCTGAAATACGGCCTCGTGGATCGGAAACTGCCGTACTATAAGTACTCTCCGGAGGCCGTGCTCGAAAATGACCGCGCCAGGCTCTATTGGGACCGGCCCATCATCACGGACAGGACGATTGTCGCGAACAAACCTGACATCGTGGTGATGGACCGGGCACAGTCGCGGGTATTTTTGGTCGACATTACCATTCCATATGACGAGAACCTCGTGAAAGCCGAAACAGATAAGAAGACAAAGTATCTGGACCTGGCTCACGAGGTGACCGACATGTGGGGTGGTGTGCCGACCGAAATTATCCCGATAGTCGTGTCTGCGAATGGGTTAATCCCAGTCAGCCTCTCCAAACATCTGAGGCGACTGGGACTCCGGGACGGAACGCTCCAAGCTCAAATGCAGAAGGCGGTGCTCCTCGATACCGCCCGCATCGTCCGCCGGTTTCTCTCCCTATCGCCCTAACCCTCGGCCGTTTGGTCTCCCCTGCCGAGGGCTTCCGTCTGGTTCGGTCATCAGGTCCCCTCTACTTATAAATTTGACAATGTGTTTGCAATTTAAAGACGTATCCTTCAAAGACATTTACAATTTCCATTCTAAAATGAGAGTTAATGAGAACATACAGATTACTGTTAATAAGTGAACATGCATATAAATTAAAATTTAATGTAACACTTAAACCACTATCATACGTGCTGGTGTTCGTGTGTGTGTGTGTGTGTGTGTGTGTGTGTGTGTGTGTGTGTGTGTGTGTGTGTGTGTGTGTGTGTGTGTGTGTGTGTGTGTGTGTGTGTGCGTGCGTGCGTGCGTGCGTGCGTGCGTGCGTGCGTGCGTGCGTGCGTGCGTGCGTGCGTGCGTGCGTGCGTGCGTGCGTGCGTGCGTGCGTGCGTGCGTGCGTGCGTGCGTGCGTGCGTGCGTGCGTGCGTGCGTGCGTGCGTGCGTGCGTGCGTGCGTGCGTGCGTGCGTGCGTGCGTGCGTGCGTGCGTGCGTGCGTGCGTGCGTGCGTGCGTGCGTGCGTGCGTGCGTGCGTGCGTGCGTGCGTGCGTGCGTGCGTGCGTGCGTGCGCACGGACGTGTGTGTGTGTTTGTGTGTGTGTGTGTGTGCGTGTGCATGTATACGTCTCTTATTATATACGTGTCTTATACATATATTAGAAACGCTAGGAGTTTTTCTGTGTCATTGTAATTTAGACCCTGTAACCATTCAGTCACTTTCTTTTTACATACATATTTTGTTTTTGTATAAATGGAAACATTTTTGTTGACTTTGTTGTATAAATAACTACCCAGAAAACAGAAGAAGCGACAGGAAATTTTTTTAGTTATTTTATTTGTGTATCTGTCAGCAGGGACATGACGCCTGCTCTCTTTGAAGTTTTTGGGACAGATCTTGAGTTGTCCATGTTGTTGAGGATTGTGTGTAATAAAAATAGTTGGCGAACCGTGAGTACTTTTGCTTTTTGGTATAACTCCGTGGTCGAAAAACTAAATGGTAAAAAATGTGATACTTTGAGAATTGCACGCTGGGTTCTTTCAAGTTCAAGAATTATGGTCTTGGGCGCACCACCCCAAGATGTGATACAGTAAGTGAGAAGAGATTGTGCAAGCGAATAATATATTTTTTTGCACAATTGCGCATCAAAAACATGCCTTAATGTTTTGAAAATGTATACAAGTTTTCGGAGCCTGCCATTTAAGGTGTTGATATGGGACTTAAAACGTAAATTGTTATCCAACAGTATACCCAGATATTTAACATTGTCTGCTTTGTTAAGGTGAGCGCATGAACAGTTGGTATTTTGAGGTTCGGGGCAAGTATGTGTAATAATATTGTATTCATTAGGAATTTGAGTGGTATTTTTTATTGTGAAAGTCATGTACTTAGTTTTTTCTGCATTGAGTGTAAGCATATTATTTCTTAATAAGATCGAAACGGTGTTGAAACCAATTTGAGCATTGTTAAAGACGTCTGACCAGGTTCTACCATTGAACAATAGTACAGTGTCATCAGCAAATGTGATAATTTTGCCTTTAGGAAGTGAGAGCATACCTAGGTCATTAATATAGATGAGAAAGAGTGTTGGGCCAAGTACACTTCCTTGAGGTACTCCGTAATTTAATTTCCTCTCCTCACTTGTATATTCACCTACCTTAACAAATTGTATCACATAAATAGTTCTTAAACAACTTCAATTGAGTTCCTCTAATACCAATGTTCTCTAACTTCTTTAATAGTATAGGAGCAGAAACCGTGTCAAATGCTTTGGCAATATCTATAAAAATACCTAAAACTTTATTCCCTCTATCCATATTAGTGACGATGTAGTTTGTTAGGTCATGAACGGCATCTGCAGTTGATCTATCGGCCCTAAATCCGTACTGTGTTGGGGAAAGTACATTGTTAGTTTCCAAAAAATTTACGAGTCTACTGTTTATTATTCGCTCTAGTATTTTGGAAAAAGCAGGTAAGACCGCAATAGGCCTATAGTTAGTAACACGATTTCTGTCTCCTCCCTTAAAGATGGGATGTACAACTGATCTTTTAAAGACTGCTGGAAAGGAACCACTTGTCAAAGCCAGGTTACACACATACGTTAGAGGCGGAGTTTGAAAGAATTTGCTACGGGCCCCGCGCTTGCTAAATCCGGGACTGTATGAATGTCATTATTAGCCAGAAGGAGCTAATTGAAGATTTAATTTTATTGATATGATATCAAGATGATGGTAGCACACAACCCTCTCTATTGAAATTAGGGTGTATTTTAATTTCAATAGCCTCGCGAGGTGGGTAGTTGTTATTTTGCTAGGTCTACCAAACTTGGTAGAAGTGGTTATGGCCATTCAAGGTATGCCCACAGAATGCATTCTTGTTCGATCTTTGATGTTTCAAGTCATATGTTCCTTTACATGGGTTATGTTGCTTTTTTGGTTTGTCCTTGGTAAAAGAGAGCAGATACACACACACAATCAAGCTAGTACACTTCAGGATCTCGCAGAGGGATATTGCATTTGACTGATCGTTATGAATGAGAATGTTTTAATTGAAGGCAAATTTAAATAACTTTAACTCTGGCGTAATTCTATTAAAATAAATTTTAAACGATAGAGAAAAATCTCTAATGAATTAATCAACAAGCAGAGTTCGTTAAAATTTATTTTAATTGAATTAAGCCACAGTTAAAGTTATTTACATTTACCTAATTGAATGAAGCTTTCTTAAGATGTATCCAATCTTTTCGGTGATACTCTGATATATTGTAGAACAGCAGGCACTCCACGCTCCATTGTGGCTGGTGGCTAAATTGCTATGAAAAAGTAATTCACTTTTTTTCCAAGCCGGTAATAGTGTTTTAAGTTTATATAAGTGTAAGACTAAATAGTGTGTATTGAAAAAAAATATCTTCGAAAAATTGTACTGTTTCTATATTTTTCTTCTATTGCAACATTAGAGCACATTCCTTTTAAATTGAGTTTTTTTTATTAGTACACATTCCAAATTTTTATAAACATTCATATTACATATTATTTTCCCTATTTATGAGAGAAATTAAATCGCGAATGTGAACGGAACCAACAAAGAGTACATCATACGATCACGTTTTAGGATTTAAAAATGTAGATTATGTTGAAAGAAGCGCCATCTAGATTTTCCTGTAATTGTTGAGAAGGTAACTGCGGTTGGAAATAAAAATTAAAAACACTTAATCTGCATAATTATAGTTAAGTAAATTAGCTGTCGCGTCAAACTATTTTTATAGCAAGTATGTATATCTTCAGAGTATATACTAATATGCACTCAGTGCTGTACGGCACTCGGAAAGTAACTACTCTTGTTACTTCGCGGGTCGAGAGTTCGATTCCCACACGGGATAACTATTTGTGTGACCCACAGATAGTTGTTTCGCATCTGGGTGTTTGTCCGTGTGAAATTTATGTTAGTAATATAAAGTAAGGGCAGTGTATTTTAAAGTAAAAAATAATATATAAGCGGGCTGATGCCTAGGCGTAATATTCGTGCGAGAAAACTTCCCAACTTCGGTCTATAGCAAATGTGCATCATAGACGAATCATAAAAATACAAATACTCTTGGTCCGAGTGTAAAACAATGTCTTTACGCACGCAAGGGTACCGAAGCAATAACATCTGTTATAAGCGACACGCCATTCAGCCCAGCTATCCAGAATTCCAGACCACTAAAGCGATCGTTCGTAAGCATCGCTCGCGTAACGTCCTCTACGACCCGGCCTAGGACAGACAGGACCAAATAATTTCGTAACCAACGGGGGTCCGACAATACTACACACATTTGTACAACGTATTGTAGTTCATCATCGCCTACGAGCACGGCGAAAACATCGCGTCCGTAAACCCTGCGAGCGTGAGCTACGAATTCCGATCTTTCCACTACGTCTGTGCTAGATGAACCTTTATATATTCTACCGTCTACGGATTGCAAGCAAACATCAATTGTAGTAAAGACAAAGAAGATAGACTAGCCACGTATATAATCTAAATATAAAGTCTATGTATGTCTGCAATAGCTTCACCCTCATCGTTATCATACATAGGCCTCCCGTCTGCCACAAAGAAGTCCTGATCCACAAATCGTAACTCCATTTGACGGGGTTCTTAGCTTGCACGTTTTAATCAATCAACACATCGGATCCAATAATCGTTGAACTATTAAAATTCTGAAATTTGTGTTTAAATTGTGTAAAACTGAAATTTTTATTTTAATTACTAAACCCATTTAAGTTTCCTCAATGATAGATAGATAATAAAGATATGTTTTTTTAATAAAATTGATGCTTTCGATTTCTGGATGCGAAAGTAATTTTTGATATTTCTACATATACTTTCGTGGTTGGTATCCATGTAAATAAGAATAATGAAGTCTGTATATAATCTTGGGAAATTCTATTTTTAAAATTTTACATGAAAAAGAAGCACGTTATACGTCAGAGATAATGCTTAGTCCGTCGTCGTAAATTTGATATGCGGGCCAAACTTGTTCCAAAGGGAAGTCTAACTTGAAGCGCATGCAGTGCTTAATAAGCTTTGCAGCGGCTAACATAATGTTGCGAAGTTAGACGGCTCGAGCATGTCAAATTCGTTTAGTGGCTCGGCAAACAAAGGGGGGATGTTATAAGATTTTAACACGCTTAGATCCGGTCGGTGGACGTGCAGACGTTGCGCCGCTACTTTATAATCTGCCTTAAGACGGTCCTATAATCTATATACAGATCTTGCAACTCACCAGAATTTCAACTGTAAAAGGATAAGTTCAAATGTCACTGCGATTAAGGGCTGTATCAACATAACCTACATTTCAAATCCTATAACGTGTAATGTACATTTATTTTTATTTTATGCGAAAAGTTGCCTAGCGAGCAGACGGTTCACCTGATAGTAAGTGAATACCGCTGCCCATGAACATTTGCTATACACCCGGGGGTGACACAGATGCGTTGACAACCTTTTGAAAATTGGGCTCCGGCTACCTCACTCACCAGACGAAACGCGAAAGTATTTGTCATACTTCCACTTTACGCTGGTCTTCTGTGAAGTCGTGGTACTTACCCGGACGGGCCTGCCCATTCGTGCAATAGCTGAGGCTGCTGCGTGGCCCTACCACCTCCAATAATAAAGTCAATTAATGTTGCTGTTTTTCACATTTTCTGAGTGTATGGTCGATTGTAAGTTGTGATTGTCATCTTTGGTTATTACTTGATTGAAAATGAAACAGAACTATAAAAGTTGTTTGTATATGTTTTATTGTGCCTTATAACTAGCGCGTATTTGTTACAAATTATCCTTAATACATAGTGCAGTACTGCTGTTCATACGATATTCTCGATGGCGCTCTTCTGGATGTCCACGCAGCAGCAGTTGCTGATCAGGTGATACTCCTCGCAGGAGTTCGCGTGGACGAAGTTGCAGTTAGTGTTGCGGCAATGGAACGGCAAGTCTGGGAATGAAAGGGAATTTAGTAGCAACGCAATTACTAGTTGCAAGTTTGCCGGCGTTCGTCTTTCCGTCCGAATACAACGTAGGCGTCTTCAAGGCAAGAGTGAATAGGTTTCTACTGAGCTAGCGCGCTTACCATCAGCGGCTGCATCGCCACTCACCATCAGGTGGGATGGCAGTCAGGTGCTGGCCAGTTTTGAATAAAAAAAAATCTGTCAGATCAGTTTATCTTCATTTTTTTCGTATTGGTATAATTAATTTGTTTTCGGCAGTTTATTTGTCCGTCTGTCCTTACATATTTGTTAGGGTTCCGTGCCTTTAAAAGTAAAAAAGGTACCCTATTAGATTCCTCTGTTGTCCATCTGTCTGTCCGTGTGTCACCTATGGGTGGAAAAACCTAAATGGTATTTTCCGTTGAACGAGAATGACAAAATTTGGAAAAGCAAGGAAAGCAAATAAAGGAAAAATTCCAAAAAAAAATATTAAAATAATAAACTTAATTTGCCTATCGTTGCTATCGTTTTGACTCAGGATCTTGACTTTTTATACCCCTTAAGGGACTAGGGACTATAGATCTCAGTGTCTCGTATTTGACGTGTTTGCCAAACTCGGATTCAGTATCGTCTCAGTTTTCCACTCGAAGTGATTCTGCCAGGAGCGATTAAGATATATTTTTTCATACACGGACAAACACGTCGAACACCCGACAAAAATTTGATGTACCGGATCGTGGGCGCCATCTCTACGGTTGTCGTTTACCACCGTGCGCTTTGAGCAAATCTTTGAAAATTTCACTTTGTTAAATCAGTTGGGCAACAACTAATTACTGAGCGTACGAGCAGTGGCGGATTTACAAATTTGCCGTCAATAGGCTGTTCAATTTTGGCTATATGTTCGCAATCATATTAATTACGTTTATTCTGTCAATAATATTGCAACTTTTCGATATTTGTGCTCTATCGACTTAATTACATAAGTTTATTCCCGTTATTAGCATGGTTTTGAATTAAGGTATATATAATATAGAAACTGCTGTATTATTTTTATAACCAACGATTGAGTAAAGATTAAACTATTTATTTATTAACTAGAGCCGTGATAGCTCAGAGTCCGGGCGCTCGCCTTAATTCAATGTACACTCGAGCAACCTGAGTTCGATCCCCGGTGCCGGCACCAATGAAGTTTTTAACTTTAAGTGCTGAATTATCACGTGCTCCGCAGTGAAGGAAAACATCGTGAGGAAACCTGTATATTTTCGGAATAATAACAAAAAAAAAATGTATTTCGAAAATATGTGAAGTCCGCCAATCCGCAGTGGGGCCGCGTGGTGGACTATGCCCTGACACCCTCTGTATAGAGGAGGCCTTTGCCCAGCAGTGGGACATGTATAGGCTGTTACTTTACTTTATTTCGAAAATATCCAGGTTTCCTTTCGATTTTCTCCAGCGGTGACGCTGAGCACGTGATACGTCAGCACTTAAAAATTAACAATGTCATTGGTGCCGGCACCGGGATTGTAACTCAGGTTGCTCGAGTGTAATGATTTAAAACCGAGCGCCTAGTTACTGTGCTATAGGTCTATCTAAGATTACATCGAACTTCGGTGGGATAGCGTATACAAGAACAATTCGAACAATTTCGAAATAACGACAAACATAATATTTCGAAGGTATGTGAAGCCGGCCAATCCGCAGTCGTGTCGCGTAGTGGAATAATACTGTCTGTACAGAGGATTCCTTGGCCCAGCACATATATAGATAGATACGTATATAGGCTGTAACTATACTATACTTTTAATCTTAGATGATGAATGGTTCCCGGGCTCATAGAATAGGACTAAGGTATCTCCTGCCGGTCGTAAAAGGCGACTAAGGGTCTCGAAGTGGCCTCGAGCTGCTGCAAGATGGCGAGGGAATTTGGGACGCCCAGTACCGAGGGACCGGTGATCCCGGGTAGGAGATTCCGGGGTCCCTCCAAACGTTCAGAAGGTGGCCACCGACGGGAAGACTCTTTTGAAGATCCCCCCCCCCCCCCGATATCAAAAAAAAAAGATGAAAAACGGTGGCTTAGGTAGGTATACTTACAACCGGAGTGTTCACAACAGCAGGCGTCATGTGCCTGCTTGTAGGAGCAGTAGCTGTAGACGGAGGAGTCGCAGAGCGGGCATCCGGGGTGGGCGCCCGGCGGGCCGATCAGACCCGGGTGGCCCGGGTACTGCCCCTGGCCCGGGTAGTACGCGCCCGGGTAGCGATCCGGGTAATACCCGTTGTCGTAGCCCCCTAATAAATAGTCCAGTATTTGGCTAAATCCAAAACCTGTTGGTGAATGGATGATTGATTGTTTTAGCAATGAGATGGAATGGCAGTTAGGGGCGTGATGGAGAATGGGATAAATTAGTTGAAATGTTAGTAAGTAAATGCGTATATTCCCATACCAAAAGTAGAGGAATTACCCCTCTTCATTAGGAGGGAGGATTATGCCCCGTTGGCCCCATGTGTGATACCGTATTCCATACATATTTGTTAGGGAGGAATGTTTTTCTTGATCGATCAAAGAAGTGACATAACTGCATAACTGTACCTTTTTCATCAGATAGAACCATAGCAGTCGTTTCATCTGATGTTAAGTGATACTCCACCACCTATGAGGGCATACGTCACCACAACTGAGGTATTTCCGATGCGTCAACAACCTTTGATAACCCTTACTTCACGGTCTTCTGAGAGGCCGCGACACTTCCCTGGACAAGCCAGACATTCGTGAAACAGAAGTTCAGACGAGGTTTTAACAAATTTTCAACAAATCACTAATGATCTACGTACAGTCGCACTTAAAGTTTGACTCTATCTGCACACGGATTTTTATCTAACCCTAACGTTTTTGCAATGACATTAAAAGCTGGGGTCCTTCTGTGCTCCCGTCCCTGTAGATACCATTAACAACGCTTTGGTGTCTTTTTATATTCCACTGTTTCAAAACCGCGTATGTAACGAATAACATAATTATCATCCTGCTTTATTTTTGTCTTTAAGTCCAGTATAGAATAACGTGGTTCAATGAGGTCTAATTCAAATGAGTGATCGTGGTTAAATCCGTAAAATACCTTTATTTATTTATTAACCTTATTTTTATTCATTTAACAATAAATTAATAAGCATATATTATCATTGATATATGAAGTTATTAAGAAATAGAGCTCTTAAAACAAATACAGAAACGAGTATTTATCTTATCCTTTAAACGAGCAATTCTTGTGTGTATATATATAATCGGGATCTCGGAAACGACTCCAGCGATTTTCCTGAAATTTAGTATGTGCGTAGATTCGGGGGCGAAAAAGCTAGGTTTCATTTTTAGAAAATGTCCTTTTATCCCTGTTGTCAGGGAAAGAAAAATAATTCGAATATGACAGTAAATTTCGCCGCAAAAAAAATGTTATTATATAAAAAAATGTTAAATGCAAAACAGACGGCCGCGGTTCGAATCACGATAATTTAACTTATTGTTTTTACTTTTTTTCCTACACCAGATCATTTCCAAAATACATAATTTACTAAAAAAAACGAGCCAAGCCCGGCCCTCCAGGTACTATATATGTAATTTAGATACGTGAAATGGATTTGATAATTTTACCTGCAGGTGACAACGTTTATAAAGTCAAAGAGAAGAGAAAATAAAAAGGCTATGGCTAGAGCGTCAGGCCGCGATTACCGAAGACGTGGGTTCGATTCCCACAGCGGCGACAATCTTTTCGTACTTTTTCTACATGTTTTAATGTTCAATCTTAAGTGCAGAGATTAGCACTATAAAAAACTTTAAAATTTATAAAAGCTATGGCGACATCTCTCGTTCGAATTATCGTTGTAAAACGATATTCGAAATTGTTTGTATGCTGGAAAGGATATAACAATAGATGCGCCAAGCATTGCTTCAAATGCTAAATAACAATGTAGAAAGAAGGCGTTAAGATTTTCATCGCTGTGGCTATCAGCCGTTTAGCTCAGTGGCTAGAGCATCAGGCCGCGATTGCCGAAGACGTGGGTTCGATTCCCACAACGGCGACAATCTTTTCGTACTTTTTCTACATGTTTTAAAAAGGCCCACGTCAAAATAATACTTGTATTATCCCCTGGAGACGGTGTTCTAGCGACCGACGTCATCGGTTTCCAATGCGAAGTCGCGAATTCGAAACCCAGTGTCGCGATTCAATAGCTTGGAATTGTTATTTGCGAAAATGAATATCTTCTATTTGTAACTTCTTTTCTAATGTGAGAAAGTGGCAAACGAGCTGGCGGTTCACCTGATGTTAAGTGGTGACCGCCGCACATGAACATTTGCAACACCCGTAGGGTTGCAGATGCGTTGCCTTTGAATAAAGTGGGCCCTGGCTACCTCACACTCCAGATGAAACGCAGAAGTGAAACACTTCTACTTCACGCCGGTTTTCTGTGCGTTCGTGGTACTTCCCCGGACGGACCTGCCCATTCGTGCAACAGCGAACACTGTTGCATGGCCCTACTACAGGTATACTTTCCATCAACAACATATCTACAATTATTTTACGGTGGTAGGGCCACGCAGCAGCCTCGGCTGTTGCATGAAAGGGCAGGCATCACACAACACAAGGACAACACATCTGCAACCCTCGGGTGTAGCAGATGTCCATGGGCGGCGGTATTCACTTAACATCAGGTGAACTGTCTGCTCGTTTGGCAACTTTTCACATAAAAAAAATCTTTCAGACTATTAACTCAAGAAACTTGGAATATGACAGTAATCTCTGCCCACCCTAATTGGATTAATGAACACTAATTTGTACATGTTTAAATCCTTTCAGATAATTGATGACTTATGTATTCGATTATTACACTACATTGATAAGATGTAATAGAGCGCCATTAGAATTGACATCCTAAATGTATACTGGTCCGTATTGCAAAAGGGAATTATTACTTATTATTTTTTCACGTCGTTTTCGTTTTATGTGGTTATCGAGCTTTTTTAATATAAACTGAAGTGTGCTCTTAAGTGATTTTCTGATTCAGGTTATTATTTATTGAGAGTGGGTAATACATTTATATCAAGACCTTTTGCATTATCAATTAGGTACTTAATTCAGGACTGTTTTATTAGATTTATTTGAATTGACAGCTTTTTATAAAATATAGATTACTTGATAGATATAACTTTTCAAACGTATCAATGGAACACTCAACAAAAGCTTTGCACAATGAATGACTTAAAATTCACGAGGTAATTTATTTTTTAATTATGGTTCGGTGTTAAAAATAACTAGTACGAACTCCAGAGTATTGAGAGATGACTTTTTTATTAATCATAATATTTGTGACATGCTCTATTATTAACCGTTCCGTTTTAATGTATAAAACAGCCTCGTTAAAATATCAACATTTTCTTAACTTTGGCTATGATCGTCGTAATATTTTGGTAATGCTGTTTGCTAGTTCCTTCATTTTAGTTATTAATAAATGAAGCATTGTCGATGAAATAAACGTAACAAATGAAATAATTGATTTGTTTTAGGAATGAGATAATGGAAATAGATTATTGTTGCGTTAAGTGATGAGCCGTTTAAGAATTTCAATGATAAATCGAGCTTGGTTAAAACGAAATGTTGAAGACGAGACAGTTTTTGTTAGAACATAATCTTTATGACTAATTATCGGCTTAAGATAAAATCGGCTAAAGAAATAAAGTATTAAAATTGTAGACGTTTACTCAAGAAAATATACAATTAATTTAGTACTTAATGTGTAATTTAATTTAGTCAATAAATTATTTTACTTCAATTAGGAATTTCTGTTATTTAAATGGTAGTTTTAAAACCAAGCTCGACTTTTATCTTATTTCTTCCAACCGTTAAGCTTACCCGGTACCTTGTCTCTGCTGGGCTCATAACTGGTTTGAGGTTCACCTATTATTAGATATAAGCGATATTAATATCACACATTATGTTGTTATGGTTCACAGTGATTGTGCTTTCATGTAAAGAGTAAATGGTTTTTTATGGACGTTTAAAATTTATGAATTTCATCTTGTAAGGAACAGTATTTTTACACAAAATAATCGGCATCGTGTATACTTTCGTTTGGTTCCCACACCAATTTAATTTATTAAAACAACAATAATAATATTGCCTTAAAGGATTAAATTAAGATTATTTCTCCAATACAAACTATAAATTAATCTCATCCTCCAAAAGCGTTTCCATAAATGAATAAAAATTGAAGTACGAAACTACTGGCCAAGTAAGAATCTATATATTACATTATTTCAATGTACATATATTTATTTGTGTTTATATTATGTTGATAAACTTTGTCAAAAAATTATCTCGAATATTAAAAATCACGTCTATTCGGCAGTAACTGCATTTGGGATCCATAAAAAAGCCACTTTTATAACAAGGAATATACATATAGTAGGTGTCCCGATCCCTACTGCGGGTAAGGGAACGGGATCAAAGGTGTAAAAAGTAAAGGAGATTGACCTTATCTTCTTTATTGCGAAGTCGACTAAAATGGTAAGAAACATGGATTCTATAATAGACCGACAACGTTGAAGGCACAATAAAGAAATAATTATTTAATTTCTTAATTCAAGAATTCATTCGTAATACTTATTCCAAAATTAAGCTTTAATCTACGGTTATTTATTCCTGATACTCATTAGCACAAGTGAAAAAATATCGTTGCAAAAGATTTTTGAACGTAAAAAATGCTCACCATGGCAGAGTGCGATGACAGTTAGAAAAACAAACAGTGTCAGTTTTCCCGCCATTTTGTATCTTCGGTAGTTTTGTGTGGAAACTACTAATGCTTTCGACTACTTTAACTGATCCGCAGCTCGTCTATGCGTCTGCAGCTCTTGCACTGTATATGTATGTGCTTCCGTCGAAACGCGCTTGGATATTGAATGTAAATAATGAAAATAAGCCGCCGCAAGTCTTCGCCGCGTCCAGTTTTACCAGTACAGTCGCGTGGAAAGACTTGTTTTAACAACCGATTATTTTTTTACTTTGGCAATATATGCATAACTATACTTACTAGGCAAAATAAGTAAACAATCCAATTGCATATTTCCAGAAATTTTACTTTTGATATCATTGATATATATTTATTATATTGATTATAGATATTGATATATATTTGTGATTGTATCTCGGAAAAAGAAATTTATGCTTTGTTTGAGAAAACATCGCTTAGGCAATTATTAAAAAGGCCTTTTTAAATATTTGTTTGAAATTGTAATGAAAGTAAAATATTACATTTTTAGACACACATAATAAATGTCGTTGCAAATGTCGAACAAAATGCACATGTTCGAAACATTTTTCGAATTTTTTGCTATTATTTCGAAAATATTCCGGTATGCTTACGATGTTGTTCTTCACTGCTGAGCACTGACACGTCATATAGTACTTAAAATAAAAAGTTTTATTGATTGACACCAGGATTTGAACACGGGTTGCCTATATATATATATATTATTACATTCACGCGTACTATGCGTTTGATAACATATAATTAATACGTGGGTATACATATATACATACAATATTCCAACGTTCGTAAGTGTGTTTGGATCGAAAACGACAGAAAGTCCATCATCACTAATTGGACCGATTCGCGTCGGTTAAAGTTATTTTTTCCCATGAGAGAAAAAATTAAAACGACAATCTACGCCTTAAGTTGTAATGAGTCCGGCATTCCTTTTACAGAGACGAGTCAACCGCCGGCCGTAAATAGTTGAACACGTAGAATTTGGATGTAATGAAACACGAATAGATGTGCATATTCGTATTTAACTAAGAGAAAAAAAGAAACGTAACCATAAAATTTTATTCAATTATATTTTATTGCACAGCATGAGAGAAGCATAGAATGCACATTGTTTAAAATTTTGCATTACATGCGTCTATATGGTTTGGAGGTGTTTGTGTATCAATTCGCATAGATTGATTGTTTATTGTCGTTAAGTAGGAATTTTTTGAACTTGATTAATTAGTTACGGTCCTGAAACAACAATGATAACAATTGTCAGATTAAGGAAACGGATGTGCCTCCAAAGAAATTGGTTCGTGGTTAATGACTGTGAACCAAATAAATATCATGAAATCATCTAAACAATTTTCCACTTTTGAACTCAAGTCAGGTGACAGCTGACAGTTGCGTTTCGGTCAAGTTACTCAGTCTTAGGTGCTTAGCCTGTCGCTTTCACCAAGAAAAAAATTGATGTAGAGGTTCTCACATAAACGTGTATAAAGTTTAATTTATATATGTATGAAAAAAATGAAGTACGTTGCTGCATTTACCGGGATCCGAACGAGTAATATCAAAGTCTGGATTGAACGTAAGTAAGGAATTGCTGTCAAAGCCAGATAGCGTTTGAATACTCAATAAATAATAATTGATAAATGAGTTAGGTAGCTCTTAGGCACTAGATTTATTAAAGCTCGTTTGGAAAGAGATTTGATGGCGTAGTCATTATACTAGCTACTTTTTAGATATGATAATCTTAATCAAAAAAAGGCCTGTTTACTAACAATTTAAACGTGCATTCAATACGAAACGATAATGGATGCACTGGTTTAAAACTAGTTGTTAACATCAGAAATACTTATAAGGAAATATTCGAAACATGATCATGGATGGCCTTGACAGATCAATTACTCAAAAGTATATTCTCAACTCTCTGTAGATTTGCTTACTTAACATAGACTTTTCACGTATGTATTATGGACATAATGTCAAAAACCTATCTCCAAAGATGTTTTATAATATAGATGACGCGTGTCTATACTGCACGGCGTTTCAAAATTATTCCGCATTACAAAGGGCAAAGGCCTCCTCTATATAGAGGGTATCAGGGCATTGTCCACCACGCGGCCCCACTGCGGATTGGCGGACTTCACATATCTTCGAAATATATTTTTTTTTATTATTTCGAAAATATGCAGGTTTCCTCACGATGTTTTCCTTCACCGCGGGGCACGTGATAAGTCAGCACTTAAAGTTAAAAACTTCATTGGTGCCGGCACCGGGGATCGAACTCAGGTTGCTCGAGTATATTGAATTAAAGGCGAGCGCCCGGACACTGAGCTATCACGGCTCTACATAATATATAAGTAAATATGACAGATGATATAGAACGTATGATAAAAATCATTACATCAATTGGTGTAATTTGAGTGCCTAAATTTCGGCGCGCTAGTGTCATATCTTTGTATATATAATCGTTGTCTCTAGTAACCGAATCTACAGATAGATAACATATTGAAAACGGTCGTAAACAAACAATGATTCGGTCATAATCGTAAATATGACGAAGATCATAATCTCCGTTCCCTCCGATTTACGAGACGAGTGTAATATCGTAAAATCGGAAGCTGCTTCAGACGAAATTCTTCAACATTACGCACGTACCTGTACCGTGCAAGACTAATTGCTAGAGTTAAGTACTAATGCGGTTGACCTCAGCCCTTATTTTAAGGAGCCTTCCCCGCCACTGCGAACTCTCATATGCAATTAACGTTCGTAAACATCCGGTGTCCTGGGATATCTGCAGGTATAAATCGTAGCGGCCGTAAGCAATCTTACAAACGATCAAATATGCCCTTAATGATACACCGCGGTAAATTTCTACGAGCTTGTTATATTAATTTGCACATGGCACTTTTTGGAAATCTTACGAATAAGTGAACTCGATAATAGCCACATTCAAATGAGTACGACATAACCTATTATTAAGGTATATTTCAAAGTCAAATCGCAAAGAAAGAAAATTATATTTATTTTACATTAGCTATTTTCCAATAATAAATCGTAATATTTCATTTAAAGAATGTCCGTTGGCTGTTCTTTACACTATGTTGCTATTTATCACTAAGGAAATTAAAAACAAAAATAGACTAAATATAAGGTTCCTTTTTTGACTCTTCCATATTATTTATTGCTATTTTTTAGTGTTGTCAACGCGACTGCCCGTCTATTTGGAGGGCACAGATAACATCGTTGCGATGGGCATTTCCCGCCGCCCCTTAATAGAGCACAGCGTTCTTTTTTAAGAGCTCAGATGAAGGCTCCATCTCGGGTAATGTCACGGCCGGGGTTCTTGACCGGCTAGCCGATGAACCCGAGGTACCGTAACCGCGAAACCAGTCTGCCAATGAAGCCCACGAAGCGATCCGCGTCTAAGAGTTAGCCGGCTAACGCGCAAAATTAATTACTAAGCCCTCGCCATTTGCGACCTTTTGAAACTGGCCACCGAGTTAATTATCTTCGGGCATCAATCGAACTAACTACAAATTTGATATTCGAATTAAAAAGATTTAGGCTAACGAGCTTGCATTTCCTAGCTTTATAAGTTTGAGTGACACAGAATGTCGTACCATGAAGATTGATAATTCTCTTTGGTTTAGGTTATATCTTTTTTGTTCTCGATTTTCGAGCACTGCTGCGCCTCATTTCAAATATATCATAAATACGTACAAGTTATTACATATAGTGTGTGTGTTTGTTTTCAATCCGCAAAAGAATTGGGCACACGGCTTGCGCGACGCCAATTGGGCCGTATTGCAGGGTCAATCCCCACACGGAACAATTTGTCTCATTAATAAATATATATTTTTAAATCCGTTTGTATTTCTTTTTCGTGATTTAATCGTTTGTGAAACTCCCAAAGACAATTCCTTTTTAGGACCCTATTAATGAGTCTGTCTGTCTGTATGTCTGTCCGTCTGTCACCCGGCTGTATCTCAAAAACCGTGATAATTAGACAGTTGAAATTTTCACAGATGATGTATTTCTGTTGCCGCTATAACAACAAATACTAAAAAAAGAAAAAAAGATATTTAAGTGGGCCTCCCATACAACAGACATGATTTGTTTGAATAGTACGGAAACCTTCGTGCGCGAGTCCGACTCGCACTTGGCCGGTTTATTCTTTCTTCTTCCATACAGCTGGTCTTAAGAAATTTAAGAAATGGAGTTCATTTGTGTATCCCACTGGGATTCGAACTCCCGATTTAAAGCCTCGTGCTGACGTCTCCCATATACAAAACTAAGAACTGTTATAACATTTCTAATCGAATTACATATTCATTATGAATTGACAATGAAAATTGAAAATGTAGAGTATTTGGATTCGATATGTGTATGGGAAGTGTAAAGACTTTACAGAGTACCTAATGTAATACAACTTTTAAGATACTTGTAAAAATCAAGATATTAAGTGAGAAATGAAAAACGACATAAATGTGGCGAAATCTATTTATTTACATCGACTTATACTACGTTCTAGTAGGTTTTCGCTAGTATAAATTATAACGTTTGTAATAAATTTGAAAACAATCTGAAATCAACTGGCTTTGTTCCGATATTCCTTCATTTCATATTAATACTCCTTTGCCTCTGTGAAACGCGAACCAATTTAACTTGTACGGTACGGTGAGACTAGAGTTTTGGACGTTTCGTTATATTTTTTCATTTGACCTACATGACATGGAATTGTTTTGTATTCTTTCTTGTATGATATATCTTTAACATGAACATCAGTTAATACTTTTTTGGAGAAAGCGGTCACTTGGTAATGAGCCGCCCTAGGACATGTAAAACCAGGATTACCAGGAGTTGTGGCAGAGTTGCTTTGTGGTAGGACAGGCTGGAAAATCTTACCATCCCGGAAGAGGAGGTCTGGGAAGACCGTAGCCGCCCCGGGGTCTCGGCAGATTGCGTGTTAGGTAGGATAGATTCCGCTCTTGAAGTAATGTCAAAAAAATGTAGTCTTTTTTTTTATGGGAAAAGGAGGCAAACATGCATGTGGGTCACCTGATGATAAGGCATCACCGCCGCCCATAGACATTCGCAACATCGGTTGAGTCGCAATTGCGTTGCCGGCCTTTAAGGTAGGAGTAGGCTCTCTTCTATATACGTAATTTCCATATACGTACTCCTTAGAAACATTCAATTATTTGCGTGAAAAATGCAGTGGGTGTGCTGGTTTCTAATAATAATCACAACAACATCTATTGGTAGCTCTCGGAAACGTCAAGTAGTGCGCTTGAGTAAGGTACAGGAATTGAGAGAGCGGACTTGACGGTTATGAGTTGTGGAAGTCGGACGATATGAGTGTGTTCTGGACGTGCTCGAGCACGCCACTTACAAAAGGAACGGCGGTGTGAACGGTCATCTTCCTGTATTCAACTTGCTACGTTTCCACTCAATTACATCAGTGTGGTTAAAAATTATTTTCGTTATTATTGATTTTAATCGAACAAGTAAATTACAATGAGGGATCTGACAACGAGTTGTCCTATGTGATCCACCTATCTCCGACATATATATAAATATTTGTTTATATCTTGACGCAGCCATTCCGCAGCGTGTTAGAGAATGGTGCCTCTTGGATTTGTGATGTGAATGAAATTCCATAACCATTAACCCCCAGTTAAATGAAAAATTTTCAACATAATAATAGTATACATGTGGGGGAAGGATTTCAAAATGAGTGGACACGTTCTTAGCTTCCAAATAATTATTTATTTTCTTCTTAATTAATAAATACGCCTTATCGTCTTAAAAAACCCAACACACGTCTTTCGTCTTTACACCTTGCTCACACTCGCCATACGCCTTCACTCTCGCTCACTCATTCAATCCGTCTTGCTCTTTTACTCAAAGTTCTGTTTATCTGCATTTCACTATCATTCCCACATATATGTGAATCCTAAGTCTTAAAAGTAAAATGTGTTTAAAACTATAATTTATCCTAAATTTTACTATTAATTTACGAGTAATAGAGAAGCGTGTGGAACATTGTGTTCTTTGAATATTTTTAAAACAGTCATCTATGTGATACGTTTTACGTATATTTTAATTTGAACTTATTCAAATAATAGATAAAGCTCAAGATTTATGAACTTATTATCTGATTGGATTCGTATTCTTTTGTACAGAAACTCGTGATGTAGTAGGTTCAAGGTAAAGTTTCAATTTTAACTTGATCAAGCTTACAATTAGGGTTAGGTTTCAATGTCTATAACATCTGTGTCTATCTCTTCTCATCTTTACAATCTTTCATAAAGTTATTCGTGGTGTGATATATTCAAACTTAAGCTGCAAATAGAACTTAATCTTAATCAGCGTAAGGTTTACGTCTAAATAACCTCGTGTCTCTCTCCTTGCGTGGTATCGTTAAGCTGGAGTTTGAATTTGAGCCTAATCTATCTTAATATAAGGCTCTAGTTTCATCGCCCTCATGATATCACCGGTGACAGAGCACCGCCCCGCCTGCATGATGGCCCTGGCATCTTCACTGCCGCTCACCAGCTGCTTGAAGTAGTGCTCATTTAGCGTGAACGTGGTATCTGGATCTTCCTCCGGCTCTCCTTCGTATACCGTAACGTTGTTCAGGTCCAGGGCTGTAGAAAAATCAATGATATCAAATGATGAGAGGGCGAAGACGAAGGACTTGTAAGCTGAAGTGGCAATGGGAAGGCCACGTCGAAGAAATGATGGCCTTCCTCTACAAACGCCAGTAATTACTTAGATTTCCAATTTTATTTAGCCATGTATTCGCGTAAATGCGATAAATAAGAGTTCGAAGATCATAGAAATTAATATCTCTATAATTTACATCGCAATAGATCCTTTCGTTAGGGTTGACAGTTCTCTTTGTCCCATCCAAAAATGGTGCACCTGACTTTTAATAGACAATGGGACAGAAATAGATAAATAACAGAGGCATCGAGTTGTCTAATTAAAAAAAACAAAGCACTTTCCTCACGTAGACAAAATCTATAAAAAAACGATGATCTTTGGAAGCATACCAGTTGTTATGCTTCCAAAGATTGTCGATTATAACATGAGTAGTTAGATAAGTAGTTACTTACTCCAGCTGTACACGGAGGTCCCTTTGATTATGTTGAATAGGAACACACCCCCCACTTCCTTCGCCTTGGTGGGGTCGACGGTGGCCAGACGCGATTTTATCCTCATCACTAGTTCCGCCTTGGTCAAGTTCGCGTTGTCGCTCTGTGCGGCACCCTGCAAAATAGAACGGATCAAATGAGGACTGTTAAGAGAGGTGCCATTCGCAACGCCACAACATAGGAGCTGCGAAAGCGTGAATCACATTAGAAAAGGGGCGATAACTTAGTATTAAATTCCTTATTCTTATCTCACTATGGTCAGTTCGTGTAAGATTTAAGTAAAAAAAGTTAAGACTTAAGTAATGATCAAAGTTTTTCAAAAGAAATATATCTATTTTTGGAAGAAAATTGTGACCGTCCTCATGGATTTTACGTCAAAAATTACGGACTTAAAAACTCGTTGTACAACTTGTAGAAAAATAAATTCTTAAACTAACTAAGGAAACTTTTTTTATCGTTACAAAAAGTATATATAACTTGTTTATAACGCAACTTGTTTATTTTAACCAGCGCAACAACAACTAACTGACATCAAAGTAGTCATTACGCAAGATCTCAATGAGACGTGGTGTCATAAATTGCACTTCTAAGTTGGAGACGTAACATTTGATGATATAAGTAATATATAAACTTCATAAAAACATCAAGTAGTTATAGTATTGTGCATAAGTAGTCTTCATCATCATCATCAGCCGCAAAACGTGCACTGTTGAACATAGGCCTCCCCCTTAGAACGCCACAACGAAAGGTGCTTTGCCATTGCCATCCACCGGCTGCCCGCGACTCGTATGATGTCGTTTGTCCAACTAGAGAGAGGCCTTCCACGTCTTCCGTCTGCTACGTCTTCCAGTTAGTGGTCGCCACTCGAGAACCTTTACTCCCCATCGGCCATCAGTTCTTCGAGCGATGTGGCCTGCCTACTGCCATTTCAAATTGCAAATCCGGAGAGCTATGTCGGTGACTCCGGTTCTTAAGTAGTCTTAAGTAGGACTTAAATTGTGGAACTTGAAAACTAAGGTTACTGGTTCGAATTTCCTAAACTAATGTAGAGTAACAGCATAGATATCCCACAGTTGGGTAAAGAACTCCTTCGTATGGAGAGTATTAAAACGCGCGCCCACAACGAGGATTGGAAGACTTCATATATCTTCTATTACGGGCAAAAATCTTTGTCAGGGACAGTTGCCTAGCAGTGAGACATATGAAGGCTGTTACTACTTACTTAAGTTTAATTTTTTTGTTAGACTTGAATCTGCCGTTACGTTAAACTTTACTTAATATTAATTAATTTTTCGTTATTAAACTTTAATAACCCTTTGTACGCTCTGTCAATTAATTAAGTTACGCCTTACTTTCCTTGAGAGAGCTGCTTTGATTCTTGCATAAAATTATACAAAGCTATATTTATTAAGTGATTTTATAGACGCTTGAACAATGTCGATTCTCAGAGCTACCTAATGAAAGGAGAAGATACTGAATCTAAGTACTCTCAGGAGTACAAGCAACTTTGCAGCAAATTAATCATACGTATTTATTTTGTGACGCAAATATTCTTTTTTTTTACGTTTTTGAAAAGATTAAGTAATATTTTCTATTGTGATATGTCAGTTTTTGAATATACGTTCGTAACTAAATTATAGTTTTTGTAAACGTTATTTATTACAACTATTTTTTGCTACAATAAAGAACAAAAGATATTATTATAAAGCAACGTTTTAAGAAAATGTATTTTTAGTAATGTAACTACTATTAAAGCCTGTGTATTTGTGGTTAATACTAGTAGTAAAAGTAATTAAAATAAAGGAAATACTAAACGTTTGGAAAAATGACAGCAATTCGGTATGAAAGGTAACACAACCTTTAAATTCCCCCCAAAATACAAACACAGATAAGAATTGTCTTTCTGTTTTTTTTTTTAAATGAAATTAAACGCCGATTCACTTACCATGACGCCGTGTGTCCAGTGCCGTTGCAGCCGCAGTATGCCTGTTCGGTACAAACGACATCCGAGAAGCTTTCACTCTTGCAAAACACGCGCTCGAGTGTCCGGTGACCATGTCAACAATTATATGAGGATAGTCTGTGGTACTGGTGACATTTTTATTGTCGGCTCAAAAACAATCCCCTGCCACCTTTGATCTTAGAGATAGTAAATATTATCAATGTAAGTGAGACAGTATACATTTTTTATGTGAAGAAGTGGCAAACAAGCTAGCGGTTCACCCGATGTTAAGTGGTAACCGCCGCCAACGGACATTTGCAACACCGATTGCAACTGTGTTGCCACCTTTAAATAAAGTGGGCCCCGGCTACCTCATTCACCAGACGAAACGCAGAATTGTAACACTACTTTACGCCGGTCTTCTGTGATGTCGTGGTACCAACCTGGACGGACCTGGTCATTCCTGCAACAGCAAATACTGTTTCGTGGTCCTACCACAGTTAAAATTTATTAGTTCATTTAAATAGTTCGATAAAAAAATGCAGATTTTTTTTCTATTTTAAAAAAACATTGCCCACACTTTAGGATAACATTATCCTGTGTTGTAAGGACGTTTTACAAACGAGGACAAACACTCAGATGCGAAACAACTATTTTTGGGTCGCAGAAATAGTTGTTCCGTGTGGGAATCGAACCAACGATCCGACGCCGAAGCCAATATCTTGGCATTTGATTGGATAACTTCGATCAGCCAGTAGTGGGAGGCCTCATGGCGAACATAACAACATATTAAAAAAAAACTTCATTCAGGTCATATGGTTTAATTAACCGCGGGCTATTGCTCTTTTTATTGATATAACATATATCTAATGTATTTATACGACGAAATCGCATTTCAACTCACGCATGTCTATCTCTTTCCAGACCATTGAACATTTATGTAGCCTACCTCTTAAATTATTGCAAGGTTTTCTATTATCTGTGAAACTGCCAAAACGTAAAAATAAAAAGGTATAAAAACAATTGATTTGATTGTTTATGGTCACCCTCACGCAGCATATAATAATATAGTGAGTACCTTCTCAACTACCAATCTGCTGATCATGAAGTTTTCACTTTTAGCGTCTCATTTGCGTGACGTAAAGATGACGTAAGGAGCCCTCTGCGGCGATTGTTATGGTTTGTGCGTAGAACGAGCGTGAACGTTTAACGCTGCATTTAGAAAAACAAAAGGAATGTTACGTAGAAAAAGTTAAAAGTAAAAAAGGTAATATATGTTTCACTTCTGGGTAAAGTCCACCACGGAACACCAGCGCAGCTTGGCGAAATTCATATAACTACGATTTATTTTAGTACGATTAATTCGAAAAGCGGTTTTCATCATCATAATGTTTTCCTCCACTACCAGGGCACGTAATAAGCCAGCTCTTAAAATTGAAATTAAGAATTTAATTGGTGTCGTAACTCAGGGTGCTAGATTTTAACTTCTATACTTTTAGTTATTTGGTTCTTTTTTATGTTAAATTTCTATTCTTACTTTTAACGCTTTTAATGCGTTCGCATAAAACATTTGTCGCCATGACATTTTTTATGGATAAAAGTGGCAAACGAGCCCACCTGATGGTCAATGATCACCACCGCCCATGAACACCTGCAACCGCGGAGGGCTTACAAATGCGTTGCCGGCCTTTTAGGAAAGAGTATGCTCTCTTCTTGAAGGTCCCCAGGTCGTAACGGTTCGGAAAGGCCAACAGTGGCAGCTAAAATTTACACCATAACATTCATGTTGCAACAACACTCATGTTTTTACAAATAAATTATAATTATAAATTATTATTGAGGCGTTATAGCTCAGTGTCCAGGCGCTCGTCTTTAATTCAATTTACTCGAGCAACCTGAGTTCGATCCCCGGTGCCGGCACCAATGAAATTGTTTAATTTTAAGTGCTGACTTATCACGTGCTCCGCGGTGAAGGAAAACGTCGTGAGGAATCCTGTGTATTTTCGAAATAATAACAAAAAGAAATATTAACAAAATATGTGAAGTCCGCCAATCCACCAGTGGGGTCGCGTGGTGGACTATGCCCTGATACCCTCTTTACAGAGAAGTCCCTCATTAAGTTGTGGGACATTTATAGGCTGTACTTTGGTTTTTACTTTTTTTATTATTATTATTGAAATAAAACTGATCAGAATGAAAACTTGTTGTAATGCAAAAACGAAAAAATTATACGTATTTTATTAGGATGATATCGGTTCCAAAAGCAAGCCATTGGGGTGCAGAAAGGGTGGTCGCGTTGTAAATGAACGTAATATACCACAAATAGCTAATAACATAAGCTCAGGCAATGTTCAGGTAGCTCTCGATAAATTGCTAACGACCACGATGTCTCGTTGGGCCGTCGTATTTTATGGATTAAAAGCTTCGGCTACATTTATTGTGTCACAAGCCATAAGCCGTAAGCGTTTGACCGTACAAATTGTAATTATTGTTTGTAAGTTTGCTGGAATACACAAGTATTATCTAGCAACTTCGTAAGTGTCACAGTACCACAGAGTAGGGTTAACATTGGTAACCTAAAACCGAAATGGAAATACAGCAGCTGACGCCAATATTAAAAAACAAACATTAGTTTCAAGTTTTACTTACCCCATCAGACGAATGATATGCACTCTCTATAAACGAAAGGTTCAAACAAAAATAATTTAATTTTCGCTATACTGCGCTGTAGGTATTTATTACTAGTTCACTTACGCAGCCGTCCGAGTTGCCTCGAAGTGCGGGCCGGACTGAAAACCGGTGTCGGGATCAGAACAAATTTTAGTTACTGTATCTCGACTTTTACCGAGTCCCGTCCGTTTCACGGTCTTATGCTGCTACATAGACCGTCACTTACTGTTATTGTTTTGTTTGTTTTTTTTGTTATCTTTACATTTATTTTAAGTTTCTGTGTAGTTACATTATTATTTTTAAGTTTTTTATGTGATCATTTGTTTTTAGACCGTGATTAAAAGTTTCTTCTTCTTCTTCTTCTTCAAGGGATAAAATGATTTTGTATAGTGTACATAAGTATTTGTTGTTGTAAAATCAATAATTTTTAATATTGTACATACATAATATTTAGATTGGCAACGTACACTACGATATAACTTAAAGTACAGTTAAGAAACAGCATATTCATGTCCCGCTGCTCGGCAAAGGTTTCTCAAAACGGAAGGTGTTAGGGCAGAGTACACCAAGCCCCAGTCTACAAATTGACATACTCCACATGCCTTCATGTCGCTCCTCCCACCGAATAATATGGTAATGTGTTATAACGATACTTTGGGTTTTATTGCATATTCGTCATGTAGACATCCTTTTACATCTTGTAAATTTTTTTCACATTTTTCCTGTGAGTAATTTTGAAACTAGCATTTATATAATAACCATATCCTTATTATTCCGTTACAGGTTTAGTATAATTATTTACATGAATAAAATCGCTACTGGTGATTACTACTTGCACTACAAATAAGGTTTTAAATGTTGACTATAACAAACTCGAGTTCTAGTAAAGTATTCTGACAATACTATTCCTGTAGTAATTTTATTTGAAAAATGTGGTAATGTTGGTTAACATTTAATTGTATTAAAAAAAATACAGTTATGACCTTTGCAAAAGTTTACCGGGGCGTTGTTTACACTCAAATTAAGATTGCTGTATTCTTTATTACCACGAGCCACAAGTAATACGCATCGCTTTCTTTTTTTTCTTAAGATAAAGAAAGGGATAGAGCAATACCGAGTACTCGGCACGTGCTGGTTAATCGCCGTGTTTGTTTACTTTAAATCCGTACCAAAAAATATTTAGGTAGTGAAGTGATGCGCTCTCAGTATCAATATTATAATAAGTACTTACTTACATAATTATCGAGTTCTTTTTGTATTTTACATTAATATTGTGTTTAGTGTGATTTTGAATACGATAAAATCACAAAGAATATGAAAAAGACAGTTTTGAAAAACCCCCTAGGCAAATTCTGGATTTACTGAAATTTCCTAAAGGTAAGTACCTATAAGATTTATATACTTACGTATCTATATGCTTACGTACTGCTTGGCTAATAGAACTATGAACCTACCTAAAATGACCGTGGCTCGGGTGCCTTTGAGAAGGTTTTAGAGGTAACTAACTCTAATCCGTTGCCAACCATGTGAAGAGGTGATACCTAGTTGTTGTACATGAAGACTAGGTATTCATCATTATTATCATTTCAGCCGGTTGCTGGCCAGTACTGGGCAAAGGCCCAATCTAGTTTCTAAATTGATGGATTATCGCCTCAGTAATTTAAAAAAAATATTCAGTTAATACCTAATTTATACTGTCCCTCTACTTCATTTTTTTTCAGACATCCAGCCGTCCACTTCAAGTGCACTGACTGAAGATGTCGTAATTACTGAAATGCTTCGGACAATTCTTCTTCTTCTGTACGTGACGATGACAGATCATATCTTTTCAGCCCAGAACTTAGCCACTTCGACAGCACAATTTGTTTTCTTTATTTTTTACGTGTGGAAAGTTGTCAAACGAGCAGACGGTTCACTGATGTTAAGTGAGTACCGCCGCCCATGGACATCTGCTACACCCAAGGGTTTGCAGATGCGTTGATAACTTTTTTGGAAATTGTGCTCCGGCCACCTCACCAGACGAAACACGAAACTATTTATCATACTTCCACTTTACGCCGGTCTTCTGTGAGGTCGTGGTACTTACCCGGACGAACCTGCCCATTCGTGCAACAGCCGAGGCTGCTGCGTGGCCCTACCACCGTAAAACCGTATCGTTGTGGCATCCATCAGATCCTGCTGCGAACAGGTAAAAGGGCAGGCAGGAAAGGACATCAGATGGGCCATAGACTGCACTGCTCCACACATACAGTCCAGTTCTGAGTTTTCTGAGAGTCCCCACCTGAACATATTTTCCTTGCTTCGGCCAACCTGAGTCCGAAGTCTAATTAAAGACTTCCAGGTTGGCCAAGGTAGTCTATGACCAGCTGGAAGACTCTCAGAAAGCGGGACAAAGGGATCCGGAAGCGGAGTTTGAATACGCCACATTGTGCATCTCGCTTGAGAGGGCTCGGTTGTGAGGGGGACAACATATTTTAAAAAACTTTTTCGACTTTTCAGCCTTCGCGGTGGGAGCTCATGCACATGTAGGGGGGTGCCGCTTATGGTTCGTAGGCCTTAGGCCTCTCTAGCGAGCTTGCCACGGCATGCTTACAACTGGCAGCGCTATGCCAGCCAGTGGATAGAGCAACTTCACCGGGGTTGGCTTCAATTCAGACAATCAATCCGCTTGATAATGAAACAGACTTTAAAAACTCTGTATAATTTACGTGATATGCACTAATGCAATAAATATCAGCAAATAATATTAATATTAGGGTTAATATCTGTGTATGCTGTGTGACAGCGATTACTATTGCGCAAGACACGGCTGAGACAAACACTGAAGTAGTTTTTAATTCTAATAATAAAAAATTAACTAGGAAACGATGACCAAAAGACTCAAAAATAGCAGTGAATCTTATGAAGGTGCACGTTCAAAAAAACTGTATGCTACTAAAGACATCGGTCCTTCATGCTCATGCAAAAAGATTGTGGCATAACATTTTCTATGGAGCAACTACAGGCGATATTTGACACTTTTTTATAGACTGAAAGATTATGAACTCCAATGGCAATATATCGTGAGACACGTTCAAGCACAACCTGTAAAACGCATCACTTTAGAAAGAAAAAATAACAGGATACATACCATTTAATATTATTTTAAGCAGGACCATGCACCTTTTCAAGTTTTTATTTTGTATTTTTATACTACGTATTGCAGAACAGGTAGTTTTACAGCTCAAGAGAAAATAGCGCAGGACGAGACCCTAATTAG